TTACCACCTCTCCCGTTTTACGGAAGGATCGAGTTTTCGCGTGCTGTTTCTGACCTTAAATTAAAGTTTTGCTTTAATTTCCTCAGAGTAGATCAGTATACGCAAGGGTACTTACTTGTACTTGTACTCGATCCGATTAGCTCCTGTTGTTGGATGAATCGGCTTAACGGATTTCACGGATAGCGGCGACCCATTGGCGGTGGTCGGAAGCGAGCTCTTCATAGATGTTAGCCCATTGTTTGTTCTAGTGTCGCAAGCCGTAAACGGTTACGAGGCCCATCCGTTCAAAATCCGACTTGACGGTGCTGAGCCATGCCTTCAGTTGACCGCCTTGTCGGTATTTCCAGTTTGCACTACGAGGGTCTACAGACCGTATACCAAAATGTGATACGAGTACTTGGGTCGAGGTCTGTCAGCCTCTACGAACTAGCCTCGTAGTATCGTCAACCTGCCAACAAGGAGTCGGTTGTGTAACCTACAATATTGGCAGCAGAGGTACTAGCTGTGACACTAGCCCCGACACGTGTTTCGCCGGTATTCTTCTGCTGCTGCTTGGCACAGTTTCAAGAAGAGGTTCTGCTGCGAGGAGCGATTAGGCGCACAGTCTCAGTTAGAAGTCCTTGTCGAAACCGGGAACTTTATTGAGATGTGAGAGAAAAAAAAACAGTAACGTAGTACTCGTAGATGCTAGAAAAATGGGGGAGGTCAGAGAAGAGGGGAGCCCCCCGGAAAAGTCCGACAGCCCAGACTCGGTCCGAACCAGAATTGCGGCCGTCAACCAATCAGGGCTCATCCTCGGCCCCTTCGTCCGGGATTGGCTCCTCGGTCTCTACAAGGGCAGTCAGATAAAGGGAAGGGTGAGTACAAGGAGGAGATGCTAAATAGTAATGTCTATTATGCATAGGCAGACAAAGCCGCATGGTACACGGGAAGCTACCAGGTATGCAGCTGTTTTGGTTTTTCTTACCGGACACCTTTTTTCTTCCCTCATGCGCCTCTGTTTTTTGTCCTGTGACGGGGACAAAAGGCACTGCTGTCCCGAGTGCTATTGACACCTATACAAAAATAATTTTATTTTGTATCTTGAATTGTTTGCAGTTTATCAAGTCTGACTGCAGACTTGCCATCATAACCACTTGGCTCCCTCAAGTGAGGCAACAGGAGCAAGCCTTCTGCAATAGATGAAGTGTAAACGAAGCTGACAGCTCTGTTTTCGGGAAACGCCACAAGTTTTTTGAAATACAGGGCAAAAAAACTTGAGCGCGCAGTTTGAAATAGTGAAAGCAGTTAAGAGCAGTAAATGGTTGGACAAAGTACCAACTGACGGCACTGGTTCCGTGTTCCAGACGGATCGAGCCCAACCCATTGAAGGAGAAGGCGGGAGTAATGTGTTGTTAACCCAAATTTTCTTTCCCTGTCCGCATCTTATGATGCAAATTAAGTTGGCAGTGCTGAACGCCGAAGCTCGGGTTGAAATCTAACTTGGTGGGGGATGAAAGAAAGGGTAGCGGATTAAGTGTAGCCTACTACTACTGTTACTGAAACTAATACCATCGCAACCACTACTACAAGTACTGCTGCAACTAGCATTACTAACAACGCTGCCAATACTAATACTACCGCTGTTACTACTATTACTACCACTTATAACATAAATATCACCACCAACATCACTACTCTTACAGCTCTGAAGATTACTACTACAACTACCACAATCACTACTACTACTACCGGCAGTACCGTTATGGATACCAGTACTAACACTGCCATTACTATCCCCACTGCCATTACTAATACTGCTACCATTACAACTAGTAATGCTAACAATACTGTTACTATTCTACCGATACCACAATTACCTTCAACACTACAATTACTAATACCGCCACCACTATCACCATTACTAATACTGCTGCTACTTTCATTGCGACTGCTATTACTATCGTTAGCATTACTTTCACTACTAGCATTACTAATACTAATACCACCATTACCACTTTTAAAACTACTGCTAGTAATAATATTACAGTTACTGTTATTATTATTACTAACAATATTACCACTACTTCTCCGATTAAGAAGATCATAACTAAGAATATTGCCCAACTTATATCAGTACAACGGTTGTTACTACTAGTAATCCTGGCACTGTCATTATTACTACCAGGATTATTAGTGTTGAAGTTGGCACGGACACCGACCGACGGTACTTGCGTCAGCAAAGGGGTCCCCGGTGGCTGGTTTCGAGGGACAAAAGAGAATAGCATGCATTCAGGCTTTCAAGTTTGTTTTTTTTACCTGACACCCTACCTCTCTCTTGTTTCCAGGCCACCTGTTGTGACGACAAGAAGCACTGCTGTCCCGAGGGATATGCATGCCTAAAGGGCAGTTGCAAGAGGAAGTTACCCTGGGCCAGCGGCCCCGCCTTCCTGCCCATGAAGGAGAAGAAGCCAGCCCGCTTGTCGGCGCGTGACGCCTACGTGCCCTGTCCGGACGGCCACAGCAAGTGTCCGGATGGCTCAACTTGTTGTCCAAATGCGGCTAAAACCCAGTACGGCTGTTGTCCCATGCCCAATGTAAGCATCACTAAGCTCCGCTTTCATACTCGATCCATGTGTTTACTACTACTACTACTAATATTACTACTACTAATATTACTACACGTCTGAATAGTAATAATAATACTGCAATCATCAATATCACGGCTATTACTGTTGCTACTAATAATACCAGCAGCGACACTACTATGATCACCACTGCTAATCGTTTTTCGTCTACTAACACGAATACTGTTCAGCTTTTTAATCTCCTGAGAAATTAATTTATGTTTGCGGTATATATCAGTGTATTTAAGGTCTATGGGCGTAAACCGAAATTGTAAGTGTATACTTGGGTTGAAACCCGCAGCGGTGTCAAGAAGCGGCAGGATGCCGGCGAGACATGCGTGTCCGAACTTTTAGCTAGTACTTAGACTGTTAGTATGGTAAGTTATAACATCAATATATACTACTAAAGCCTGTCTGTTGGCAGCAATTGCATATTTCACAGTGGTTGACGGGTTTCAACCCATATATACACTTACAATTTCGGGCTACACCTATAGACCTTAAATACACTGACATATACCGCGACCAGAAATTAATTTCTCAGGAGATTAAAAAACAACTTTCAAAACCGATATATTAACCAGAAAGCAGACAGGGAAAGCTGGGGGGACCCCCTGGGGGACCAATACTACTACTAATACAACTATTAATACGACCAGCACTGCTACGATTTCTATTTATACTAGTACCACTGCGACAACTACTACTAAGACTAATATTCGTAATACGACTCCTATTACTTCTACTACTACGACCACCACTGGTATTGATACTCACACGACTAATATTGTTATTGCTACCACAATCACTACTACGATAATATTCGTACTACGACTGCTACCCTTACTGTTACTACTACTACTACTAACTATACTATTACAAGTATTACCATTACTACGCCACCAACTACTGTTAATACCGTTGCTGCGGCGGAACTATCTTGCCATCAACACGGTTTCCGATCGGGTCGTGGGACTATAACGGCGCTTTTCGAGCTTAGCGACGCCATCCTCGAGGGCTTTAATCAACAGAAGCCCGCTTCGCGGACCGTAGCAGTCTCAGTTAATCTGTCACGAGCCTTCGACTGTGTCCGCCACAATCG